GCCCAGCCCGTTTAGCGACGGGGGGAAAGTGATACATCACATGACGATGCCGCGGGTTTGACACCCCTGTTCTAAACAAACTCTTTTATGTGTAGCCAGAAACCTCTGAACATGTCAGAGTCCTCACGTTCTGAAGTTGTGTCCATTGACTGACCTTCTCCCCCATTTAGTAAGTCCCAATGGAGCAAAATTCCCTTAAAAGACTGAGACACACCTGATCCGGAATACTGGAATATGTTCTGTTGCATCTGTGGGCTCATATTGGAGCCAAATTGTCCTCCGACACTTCCCATCATCCCCCTGTTCACCAGGTTGGTACGATTGGCCAATGCCACTTCGGGGTTTTGCGCCATCTGCGAGAAAGGGCTGGTGGAGGTAGGGGGGTTTCCAGGATTCGTACCATAGTTGGGGGGGAAAGGGAATTGCTGTGGGGGACCCTGGGGTAGGCGCCCAGCCGCCAGCTGCACCGGAACCCCGGCTGAGGGGGGAAGATTGTTCCCAAAGCTTTGCTGATGTCTCATCAGCATGGCTCTCTGCTGCATGAGCTGCCTTTGTCGATGCTGCTGGCTGTAAAGTTCACGGTGACGCTGAGCCAACATCTGTGCATTCAGAGGGGGCTGAGAAGGAGGAAGAAAACACAACAGTGATGATGGTATTCAGATGAAAAGCTAGACAACCTCCTCAAAAGGTTGGACTATCAAGTGTTTTTGCTAAGGAACTTTCACCAAGTTCTCCCTATTCACATTCCTCAATACCTTGTTTTCCACTGTTTCTCACGTCTCTTTAAGCAAAAGTGCAGAGAAAGGGGAACCAACTACAGTGATATAGTACACATTATTTTGTATGTACAAGCAAAAAATAAAAACATTAATGTGAATATGTGCTTGCTTTAGGAACTATGCCTGCGTAGAATAATCAAAACAACTCAAGCAAGTGAGTCAAACAACAGAAGTATACATATTCCTCCATGGCTATTTTTGTTATTCACTTATTCATTTGTCCACTGTTTAAAACCACTTAATAACTGCATTTTGCCATAACACCATAGCAATGGACCTTAAACACCATGGTTTAATTGGAGGTTCAAGGTTTGGAGATAATGCTCTGCTCCACGGACACTTATGAAAAGCTACTTTATTATGGAATGCTCTACCTGACTCTGTTGTTACAGCCTCAAACCATCACAGCTTCAATCTCAAACTGTCTACCGTGGACCTCATCCCATTCCTCAAAGGTCCATAAAGGGGGCGTACATTAGCACACCAGCATGTCTACCATCCCTGTCCTACTCTTTGCATTTATCTGTATTTACTTCCTTTGTTCATGTTCATGTTCATCCCTATACTTGTTATCTTGTACATGCTTGACAAACACAAAAACAAATAAATGAAATAAATAAATAAATTATACCATTCGGCTCATTCTAAGTTTGGGATCTTATCATTGAACTATGTATCCATGGAGATTTAGTATATTATAGATCTCATCAACTCTTTATGGGGATTGGAATATAAAAAAATCAATAGCATCTGGAAACAGCAAGAATGGGAGACCCAAGTCATTAATCAACTCCTCTCATTACTGAAGGAGAAGGAATTTAGCTCCTCTGGTAAAGACAAAAGAATATGAACAATCTGTTGGCTTGGCCTGACCCCAGGAAGGATCTCTCTTTTTCCAGCTATATAATCTGAAGAATTGCAAGAAAATATTCCAGCTTTCTGATTTTTAGTGCAGTTGTTAGCTTGGGGAAAAAAAAGAGGGATTGGAGACCCATCAGCTGTTCCTACTTCTGCTTGTCTAGAAGAACACCTGCTGTTGGTCTTTGTCATTATGCTCACTCATTCTTTTAGAAACCAATAGTTCATTGCTCTCAAGCTGGTCTCTCCTAAACAGCCTGTTTTGAAAATCTCTCCAAGTTTCTGATCTACCCTGGTGCTCTCCATCTATGTCCACAACAGCTATACTGACTGAGTCAAGGGGATAACCCAACACAAGGGGTAGGAGGGACTGGTTCCACCACAAAACCGCGGCCGACAAAATCGCGGTCGACGAAAGCGCGCATTTGACGTCATCACAGCGCGACGAAAACATCGTGCTGTGATTGAAAAATGTAAAAATAAAGTGAAAACCTTACCCTAACCNATCTATCTATCTATCTATCTATCTATCTATCTATCTATCTATCTATCTATCTATCTATCTATCTATCTATCAAACAATCCAGATGGAAGATATACGTCTCTCTGCAGGCAACCTTAGAAACCAACGCATCCCTCCCTTACCTATCAGCCCATGGGCAGCCGTTGAGAGTCCTTGACTGTTAGAGATGTAGAAACCCAAGTGGTTTTTCTGATACCGGGCTGGGTTCTTGTAGTGGTGGATCAGAATGACGAAACTGATGGACTCTTGTAGGACCACAGTGACGTTGGCGTGGGCCACGATGGACACGTGGAGATTCTTGCCCACCACCACGGCGTTGCGGTCACAAGGGAAGACCAGCCTCTTCTCATCATCCAAGATGACCTTGGTGGGAGAAATTTCCAGGTAGGACCGTTGCGGTTTGTTGATGAGGATTGTGATGCTCTTGAAGTACGTCCGCTGTTTCTTATGACCGTTCCGTGGGGCAGGTGCCCCGATTAGCTGACCATTGACGGTCACTCCTACGGGACAATTACAAAGAGTTTGATTTCGTGGTTAAGGCAGCAGGCTAGAAAGCAAGAGATTTTGAGTTCAACTCCTGCCTTAGGCATGAAAGCCGACTGGGTGACTTTGGGCCAATTATCAGGAGGTGGAGAGTTCTAGTCCTGCTTTAGACTTGAAAGCAAACTAGGTGACCTTGAGCCAATCACCAGGAGAAAATGACTTCTAGTCTTGCCATAGCCATGAAATCTCATTGGGTGACTTTGGGCCAATCACCAGGAGATGGTGAGTTCTAGTCCCATCTTAGCTTTGAAAGCCAACTACATGACCTTGAGTGATTCGCCAGGAGACTGAGAATTCTAGTTCTTACCTTAGCCATGAAAGCCACCAGGGTGATCATGGGCCAATCACCAGGAGATGGTGAGTTCTAGTCCCGCCATAGCTTTGAAAGCCAACTAGGTGACCTTGAGTGAATCACCAGGAGACTGAGAGTTCTAGTCCTGCCTTAGCCATGAAAGCCACCTGGGTGACCATGGGCCAATCACCAGGAGACAATGAGTTCTAGAACCATCTTAGCCATGAAAGCAAGCTGGATGATTTTGGACCAGAGTTTTTATACACAACCTGTTGCCATTTCCCCACTGTTTGCATGCTGTCCTTCTCAGTATGGTACAGAGCTGTATTATTATTTTTAAAATGCAAAGAAAAGAGCCACAAATTGTATCATAACAGGACAGATTGGGACGATCTGTTTCCCACAATGTGGTAAGGCGATGGAGGAGTTCCCACAACCCACTCAATCACAAAACAATGCCCTTTAGTTTAGTCTGGCTTGTTGTGCGATTCCAGCGGATCTTTAGCCGTTTCCTATTTGTGATGCGGCCACCGTTGCCTCCTAAAAACAGATGTATTGTTCTTGACACAGTTGGGACAATAATTGCGGGCCTTAAAACCAACGGCAGAGGAAACCGCCGTTTAATATTCGCTTCCTGTGGCGATGCTTGCTTGCAACGGTCCCAAGCCGGCTCTAAACTTTGTCCTGTCCCATGGAACGGATTTGGGAGGTGGAAATTCATCAGTGTTTCCTTTCCGTCCACTGCTTCAGGCCGGGCCAAGCCTTGACTCAGCCCTTCTGACGGAACAAGTCAACAAGCCTCACCGGCTATTGATTCCCGTACCAGGGTTATCCCAGGTGGGCTGCTGGGGGCTCTTCAGATCGTATAAATCTTTCGCTGGGGGCTCACAGGGGTTTGGGAGAACCTCTGGCTAAGATTCTGTGCAGTTCGGAGAACCCCCAAAATCCCACTTCTGGCTGGCCGCGCCCACCCTTCCCTGCCCCTCCCAGGAGTTCCCACACGGCCCGCTTTGGATGCACATGGAGGGTGTACATGGAGCAGTGGTGGGTTGCTCTTACCGTCACAACCGGTATGCTGATTGCGGTCTGTTCGTGCATGGGCCTCATGTGTGCTGCGTACGCATGTGCAATCCACCAACCCTGCGACAACCAGGTGCTTGTTGGGGCTCGCACAGGCCCCGCATGCTGTGCATGCGTGTGCACTTTGCCTTTTGCCATAAAAACAGCTATAGAGTGCGGGTGGGCGAGTGGGCCAAATAAGCCACCGTACTGGTATGCTCTCAGCTGCTCCCGGCCACTACTGGTACAGCTGTACCAGGCCGCACCCACAGACCCATCAGGCCATGCCCACCAGCAACCAGGCAGAGAACCCCTTGCTAAAATTTTTGAAGCCCACTCCTGGTTACCCTACCTGAATGCTTGTGATCTGAAACTAATTGAAGGATATCGCCTGGCTGCCCGTCGATGTTGAAGCAGATGGTCAGCTTGTTCCGTGGCAAATCGATAACAAAATGAGGGTCCCCGTCGGCTGGAGAGACAATTCAAAAGGAAACAGGGAGGGAAACATTAGCTTAGGTTAACAGAGTTGGAAGGGACCTCGTAGGTCATCTAGTCCAACCCGACCCCTCCTGCCCAAGCTGGAGACCCTGCACCATTTCTGACAGATGGCAATTCAGTTTCTTCTTGAAAGCTTCCAGTGATAGAAGCTCCCACAACTTCCGAAGGCAACTTCTGTTCCATGGGTTGATTGTTCTCACTATCAGAAAGTCCCTCTTTTATTTCCAGGTTGAATCTCTCCTTGGTCAGTTTCCATCCATTCTCCCTTGTCTGGTCTTTGGGTGCTTTGGAAAATAGCTTCACCCCCTCCTCTCTGGGGCAGCCCCTCAAATATTGGAAGGCTGCTATTCCTGTCTCCCCTGGTCCNATTCCTCCTCTTGGTCTGCATCTTGATGATGTGCGGACGGGCAGGGGGAGGAAGCTGGAACCGGTTCTAAACGACACTGTAGATTTGTGGAACCTCTTCTGGAGAAGAGGTTAGAACTGGCAGGAACCCAGCCCTGGAGTATACATAAGTGATGTCAGGTTGGCCACGCCCACCCCCCTAATCTATCCGCAACCATCAAACCGCTAGTAAACATTTTTGAAACCCACCCCTGCTACAGACTGACTGCGATTTGGCGGTTCAAATCTCACCCGGCTCAAGGTTAACTCAGCCTTCCGTCCTTCTGAGATCAGTTAAATGAGGACCCAGATTGTTGGGGTCAAGAGGCTGACTCTGTAAACTGCTTAGAGAAGGCTGTAAAAGCACTGCGAAGCGGTATATAAGTCTAAGTGTTATTGCTATTTTCCTGTGAGTGCTGGAATTTCAGAATTCTTTCCCGACTTTAAAGATATTTTGCAAGGATGGGCAGTCCTTGACTTATAACCGTTCGCATAGTGACCATTTGAAGTTATAACGGCCCTGGAACAGAGTGATTTATATGAGCATGTTTCACACTTACGACCATCACACCATTCCCGTGGTCACGTGGTCCAAATTCAGATACTTGGCCATTGTTTCATATTTATGACGGTCGCCGTGTCCCCGTTTTGTGCCCTTCCGACAAGCGTAGTCAATGAGGGGGAAGCCAGATTCACTGAACAACCGTGTTACTGGGTTAACAACAGCCGTGATTCACTTAACAACTGGGGCAAGAAAGGTTGTAAACTGATTTCGAAGCTCACTTCACGAATGTTTCACTTAGCAACAGAAATTTTGGGCCAGCGTTGTAGTCGTAAGTCGAGGACAAGCTTTACTTCCAGTAAGCCCATCCACGGATAAGCTAACTCTCAAATTTTTAAGCAAAGCACCCTGAAAAATGGATAATCCGTGGATTACCCAAGGGGTAAGCCAATTATAAAAAAATTAAGCCTTGTGAAAATTTCAAAGGTCCCCTTATCTGTGGATGGGCTTATCCCTGAATATATACGGTAATGTCTGTTAGCTCAGCGGGCCATGAAATCATTAATTCTTTTAAACTCATGAATCTTCCTGCAAAACAGGTTGTTTCGGACCCGCATAAAGGGTTGGGAATCATTAATATTCTAATACGTCCCAAGCCCAGCTCTTGTCCGTAGTAACCCCGTTGCTTCCTTTTTTTCACTTCTGTAAGCCTTCTTAAACCAGGAATTTAAATGTCTGCTTACTTAAGAGATTTGCAAGCCATTTAATTGAATTCTTAATCCTCATTGCTGCCCAGTTTTTTTTAAAACTGCTTATTATAAAAGGCAGGAAATAAGATTCTCGAGAGAGATGGTTTTCCTGAAGTTGGTGACCTGTTGATGAGTAGGGGTTACGATGCCGAAAGTCCCTGCAAGCGTGGCCAGGTTTAAGCCTNTAGAAAAGGAAGGAAGGAAAGAGAGATGGGAGAGACAGGAAAGGAGGATAGATGGAAGAGGAAGGAAGGAAGGGAAGAATGGACAAAGGAGAGAACAGAAGAGTAAGAGAAGAAGGGAGGGGGGAAGGGAAGAGAAGAGAAAGGAGAGGTAGGAGGTAGAAAAGGAAGGAAGGAAAGAGAGATGGGAGAGACAAGGAAGATGGAAGATGGAAGATGAAGGAAGGAAGGAAAGAATGGACAAAGGAGAGAACAGAAGGGTAAGAGGAGAAGGGAGGGGAGAAGGGAAGGGAAGAGAAGACAAGGGAAGAGAAGAGAAAGGATAGGTAGGAGGTAGAAAAGGAAGGAAGGAAGGAAGGAGAAAGGAAGGAAATTAGTTTCCAATTCCACTAAAAATACATTTTGAAGTACTAGAAGTACATTTTGACCTCCAGACCTAAACATTAAAAAAAAGAGACAGTATCCCAGGATCACATGATTACTGATTATCATTTGCAACCCCTCCCAGCGCCGAGTCACTCAACAACCGCTTTACTTAGCAATAGAAATTCTGGCCCCGATTGTGGTCATAAGTTGAGGACAAACCATAGCCTGACTTACACCACCCATTTCAATTCTCGATAGCTTCCTACCAACCAAACAACACCGTTTCCAATCATTTTTATTTATTACACTGGTATATCCCCCAACTTCCAGTGACTCAGCGACGCCTTAAGCCAACATAGTGGCATGTATGAATGCAGGCACAAGCAGAGATCAGCGGGACAGGAGGCATGCAAATGAGAGGGATGGGTTATGTTAATCCTCACCCTGGGGCGGGGCTATGCAAATATCCCCACCACAAATGGGGAACGCGCTGCACCCGCCCCCTTCTGATGGACGGCTTGCAAACCCAACCAGGGAGCCAGACTCCTTCTCAGCCCACCCTCCCCTCTCCCCTCTTACCTTGATTGTTTTCGGAGTCCTGCCCAGAGCTTTCTTGCTTCGACCCCAGGGTGCTCTGAGCCCCCAACATCCCCGAGAGGGCCAGGAGCCCGGACGCCGTGGTGCTGACCGCAGCCAAGGTAGAAGCCTGAGACCCCGAAGGGTGTGGGGTCAAGGGAACCGGAGGTGCTTGATGGGACAGATGTTGTAATTGCTGCTGCTGGAAAGAAAAAGGAGAGGCCCCCTAGGAGAATCCGGGAAGGGTTCCATGTTCCACTTCCAGGGCCGCCACCAACCCCTGGGAGCTCCAGAAGGCGCTTTGCCTTAGAAGCATCAGACGGGACATCCTTCCAAAGGAAGAGAGAGTGTTCTAACTGAGGCTTCCTCGGCAGCACGAAGCCGAGTCCTCGTCCCGATAAACCCCTTTTATTTCATTGACAGTGGATTCCTCTCCAGCCAAGTCTTTCCTCTCCCAGAGTCTTTCAAGATAGTCCACAATTACTGACCTTCGTCAGGCTTGGAGAGAGGCCAGGCCGAGATCGTTCAGATGCCTCCGCAATCCTTGGCAAGAATGCAGGAATGAACGAATTGCCTCCTGCAAACTCCACTCCCCTGTCGCTCCTCTTTTATTCCCTATGGGAGGGGCCATTCACCGTCCACCTGTGCCTTTACTCCCAAGTCGACCCCTGTTCTTTAGCTGTTCCCTTCGTCTGGCAACTCTGCGCATGCGCACACTGGGAACAGGCTCCACCTGTTCTTCTGCCTCACTGATGTCTGACTCTGAAGGCAGCTGATAACTGTCAGATGGCCCTGGCCCCCTCTCTGCCTCTGACACAGAGCCCTCATCCGAGCCTTCCCCGGACTCCAGGACTGGCCCATCTTCCTCCCCAACCTCCTCACTGTACAAATCTGCTGCCAGCTCCAGTGGCCGCTGGCAGGCAACAACAGAAGGGCCGTCACCCTACAAGAGTCTGTGTTCTGGGATCCTTGGAAGGCAGAAGCCTGTGCTTCAGTTAAACCTCTCCGGGTGCTTAGGTCAAAGTTTGTGGATCGTTTAAGTAGGATGAAGAGATATTCAAGTCCTGTTTCTCAAACTCAGCAACTTTGAGCAGTTGACTCCAACTCTTATAATTCCCCCACCAGCATAAGATTTTCTTTTCTTATTCTTCTTTGTTTCTTTCTTTCTTTCTCCCTCTTCTTCCCCTCCTCTTTTCTCCCTCTCCTGTTTTCCACTTTGTCTCTCCCCTCTATTTTATTCTTTCCTTCCCTTTCTTTTTTCCTTCCTTCCCCTCATTTCTTCTTCCCACCTCCTCTTTCCTTCCTCCCCTCTTCCTTCCATCCTCCCTCCCTCTCCTTCCTCCCTTCCTCCTTTCCTACCTGCTTCTTCTCTACTGTCCTGTCCTCTCTTCCTTTCCCTTCTTCTATTCTCTCCTTTGCCCTCGTTCTTTGCTTCCTTCCTCTTCTACCTCCCCACCTCGCCTGTCGCTCCCATCTCTTCTCTGCTTGCTTGCTTGCTTCCTCCTCTCCTTCCTTCCTTCCTTCCCTCCCTTCCTTCCCCTCCCTCCCGCTCTGCCTTTCCTTCTTTGCTTCCCTTCCTCCTCCCTCCTTTAGCCCTCTCCTTCCTTCCTTCCTTCCTTCCATTCTCTTCCTTTCTTCCCTTCCTCTCCCCTCTCTCCCTCTCCACCTTCTTTCCTTCCTTGCTTCTTCCCCCTCCCTCCCTCCCTCCCTTATCCCTCTCTTTCCTTCCTTCCTTCCATCCATCCATTCTCTTCCTTTCTTCCCTTCCTCTCCCCTCTCTCCCTCTGCACCTTCTTTCCTTCCTTGCTTCTTCCTCCTCCCTCCTTTAGCCCTCTCCTTCCTTCCTTCCTTCCTTCCTTCCATCCATCCTCTTTCTTTCTTCCCTTCCTCTCCCCTCTCTCCCTCTCCACCATCTTTCCTTCCTTGCTTCTTCCTCCTCCCTCCTTTAGCCCTCTCCTTCCTTCCTACCTTCCTTCCTTCCTTCCATCCATCCATCCTCTTCCTTTCTTCCTTTCCTCTCCCCTCTCTCCCTCTCCGCCTTCTTTCCTTCCTTGCTTCTTCCTCCTCCCTCCCTTGCTTCCCCCTCTCCTGCCTCCCCCCCCCTCCCTCCCTCTTTGGGGCATGTTCAGATAATTCTGAGAAACAAGATACCAGAGTCAATTATTAGTGAAAAAGCCAAGGACGCTGGATGGCCCCAGCCACGCCCACTCACCCCAATGATGTTGTTCAGCTCCCCCATCGTCACCATCTTGGCCCGGTCCATGGCTTGCAAGACCTGCTGTTGATGCTTGGGGGGAAACGAAAACTACATCAGTGCACTTTGAAAGGGTTGCCTTGCCCAGGCCCCCTCTTAAAAAGGATGCAGGAGTCCAGTTGCCACCAATGGGGAAGACAGATTACAGGGAATCTCCCCCATTTACAATCATTCACTTTTTCTTGCCTGCTTTTATTTATTTATTTATGTTTACCTCTTGCGTGAGAAACGGGATAATCTGGGCACAGATAGCAGTCAGCCGCTTGACAATCTCAGCCTAAAGCAAAAGAGAAAGAAGAAACTTCGAAGACTCAAATTTTCTCTTGGGGGAAGGGAGGGAGGGAGGGAGGGAGGGAGGAAAAACAGGGAGAAGGGAGAATGGAAGAAAGGAGGGAGGGAGGGCTGAAGGAAGGAAGGAAGGAAAGGAAAATAAAACAGGGTGGTGGGAGAAAGGAAGAAAGGAGGGAGGGAGGTGGGGAAGGAAACAGGGAGGGAGAGGGAAGGAAGGGAGGGAGGGAAAACAGGGAGGAGGGAGAAAGGAAGAAAGGAGGGAGAGAGGGGAAGGAAAAAGGGGGGAGAGGGAAGGAAGGGAGGGAAAACAGGGAGGAGGGAAAAAGGAAGAAAGGAGGGAAGGAGGGCTGAAGGAAGGAAGGAAAGGAAAATAAAACAGGGAGGTGGGAGAAAGGAAGAAAGGAAGGAGGGAGGGAGGTGGAGAAGGAAACAGGGAGGGAAGGGAGGAAGGAAGGGAGGGAAAACAGGGAGTAGGGAGAAAGGAAGAAAGGAGGGAGGGAGGGCTGAAGGAAGGAAGGAGAATAAAACAGGGAGGTGGGAGAAAGGAAGGAGGGAGGGAAGGAGGGGAAGGAAACAGGGAGGGAGGAAAGAAGGGAGGAAGGGAGGGAAAACAAGGAGGAGGGAGAAAGGAAGAAAGGAAGGAGGGAGGGAGACAGGAAGGAAAGGAAAACAGGGAGGAGGGGAAAAGGAAGAAAGGTAGGAGGGAAAGAGGGAGAGGGAAGGAAGGAAGGAAAATAGGGAAGGAGGGAAGGAGGGGGAAAGAAAGAAAGGGAGGAAGGAAAACAGGGAGGGAAGGAGGCAGAAAAGAGGAGGGGGAATGGAAGGAAGGAGGGAGGGAGGGAGAAGGAAAACAGGGAGGAAGGAAGGGAAAGTGGGAAATGGAAGCGAGGGAAGGAGGAAAATCCACCAATTATTCCCTTCAGAAAGTCCCATCCTTTCGTACATTTTAAACAACCTGGCTGCTTTCACGCAACCCTTAAGCTTAGCTTGTGGTGTGAATGGACCAGGGAAGTTAATCTTACTGCCTGAACGCAGCCTATAAATTTGCAAACGTGATGCCCCCTAGGAAGCCAACTGCAACCAAACCCCCTTGGCATCATCCAAAATGAACAAAGTTCACATTTATATTTGGCCAATGTCGCCAGCTCTGTCTTTATGTATCCGAATCTGGATTTCCTTCCCAAACCTGCTCCTTTTCGCGATTCCCAGGAAGGCATACCTGCTTATGCATTTCAATATTCAGGCCGTAGGACATCTCATAATACTGGAACAGAAGGAGAAGCACCAGTTAGGCAGGCAGTTGACACACACACACACACACCGAGCTGCAAAATTCCTTCATTTGTCCCCGATAAACATTAGTTTCCTCTCTTAGCATCGTGTCCCGATTCCTAACATTCGATACCCGATTGCTACCCGGCTATAATTACACGCAAAACCATGCAAGAAGCTCATCGAAACCCCCAAACAGCCGCCAATAGCTACAGACATTTAGTGACATTCAATGGTCGCTAAATGAAATGTGGTACGTCGAGGACTACCTTCATTTTGTAAAACCCATAACTTCCTGTTTAAAAAAAAAAAGTACTACGGGTATTATTGTTATTATTAATAATACGTCTTACCATAACATAATGCCTCTGCATCTCTGTTTTTTCGCTCGCTAATTTCTCACATTCCAATTTCAGACTGCAAAAAAAAAAAGGGGGGGTGGGGGAATATGATTCAGAATCAGATTCAGAATAAAGCTAGAAGGGACCTTGGAGGTCTTCTAGTCCAGCCCCCTGCTCGAACAGAGATGCTATACCAGGGGTGTCAAACTTGATTTCATCGAAGGTCACATCAGGGTGGTGTTTGACCTTGGAGGGGCAGCTGGCCAGAGTGGTTGTGATCATCACAACATCACTCGTGTCGTTGGGGGGGGGCACCTGTGGTGGCCAAGTGCTAAGGCAGAGACCCTCCCTCACTTTCATTACAATCTTCCTTCCTTCCTCCCTTCCCTTCTTTTTCCCTCCCTCTTCATTCTCCTTTCTTCTCCTCTTTCCTTGTTTTTCCTTCCCATCTTCCCTTCTTTTCCTTGGTCTTTCCTCTTTCCCTTTCTCCTTTCCTGCCCCTTCCTCCATGCTCAAATGCAAAAAGAGAAAGATTTCTCCTTTTGTTTTGTTCTTAGTTTGTTTTGATAGCCCTCTGCCAGTAAAAATTCCTTCATTTGTCCCCGATAAACTTTAGTTTAGTTTTAGGGACGGAGGGGGGGCGGCGTTGGCAGAAGCACCCTGGGGGTGGTCCTTTGCTGTTTATAAGCACCCTATGTGCTGAATCCGGCCCGTGGGCTTTGAGTTTGACACTCCTGTCCTATATCATTTCAGACAAGTGACAAATTCACTTTTTGATCTGCTGGACTGTCTCTTCAAAACGGTGCCTGCCTGCCCCACTCCAAACTCCTTCCCTCTTTCCATGGCTTCCTCACTCAGGGGACTGTAATGGACTAGGGATGTGTGAGCAGAATCAAAAATAAATCGATTTACAGGATGCCTTCCTTTTCTAAGGAAACCCTCTCTCTCTCTCTCTTTTTTGTTTTTTTGAAAAGGAAAGGGGAGGGAAAGGAGAAAAATGGGCCAGATTTTTTAAATCCGCACAATGCACTTAACCACCCTGTGGTTTTCTGCTACGGCAGCATGTTGGGTAAATCCAGCCATTATTCTGTAAACCGGGCTTAAACAAACCACTGCTTAGAATAGAATAACAGAGTTGGAAGGGACCTTGGAGGTCTTCTAGTCCAACCCCCTGCTTAGGCAGGAAACTCTATACCGCTTGAAACAAATGGTTATCCAACATCTTCTTAAAGACTTCCAGTGTTGGAGCATTCACAACTTCTGGAAGCAACTTCTGTTCCACTGATTAATTGTTCTCACTGTCAGGAAATTTCTCCTCAGTTCTAAGTTGCTTCTCTCCTTGATTAGTTTCCACCCATTGCTTCTTGTTCTACCCTCAGGTGCCTTGGAGAATAGTTGGACTCCCTCTTTTGTGGCAACCCCTGAGATATTGGAAGACTGCTATCATGTCTCCCCTAGTCCTTCTTTTCATTAAACTAGACATACCCAGTTCCTGCAACCGTTCTTCATATGTTTTAGCCTCCAGTCCCCTAATCTTCTTTGTTGCTCTTCTCTGCACTTTTTCTAGAGTCTCCACATGTTTTCTACATTGTGGTGACCAAAACTGGATGCCGTATTCCAAGTGTGGCCTTACCAAGGCATGATAAAGTGGCATTAACCCTTCACGTGATCTTGATTCCATCCCTCTGTTTATGCAGCCTAGAACTGTGTTGGCTTAATGTGATGTGGAAACAAGGCTGCACCATGGTTGACGGTGAGGGCGGGGCAGGTAGGGGGAGTGACAGAGAGATTTCTGGATTTTCCACAGCTGTACAGTATTGTGGGGTATACTGCCACTAGGTGTGGAGGTTCCACTTAGTTCTCAGAATTAAGAATCCTGATCTTCTCTTCCCCCCCCCCCCCACTCTTCTTTTCCATACCTGTGATATTGAGCCTGGAGGAACTGGAATTCTTCCTTAATTCGGTCACAAATCTCCAACACCGAGAACTTAAAAGGTTGCCCAGACTGAAAACAGAAAGACGGAATAGCTTTAAGGCAGGGAGAAAAAAAATAATAAAATATGAGTTATCGCAAATGATGTGGAGCCCATCAAAATCAGGTTTCCCCATATACCATAATCACTTTACAGGTTTTCCTCGACTTACAACCGTTCATTTGGCGACTTTTCAAATTTACAATGGTGCTGACAACCAATCCTCACACTTACGACCATCACAGCAATCCCCATGGTCATGGAATCAAAATTTGGGCACTCGGACAACCAGCACATATTTGCAATATTCTGGGATCACGGGATCACCATTTGTGACTTCCCCCGACAAGCAAAACACATGGGGAAAGCTGGATCTGCTCTGCGCATGCACAGAAGCAAAAAACAAAAGGTGCCTACAGCACCACTGAGACAATCAGTTCAGGGGTGTAGCAGGCCTCGGTCACTGCCGGTTCCAGCAACCCAGGCCACCAAACTACTACCGGTTCAAACCAGCAGGAACCCACCTCTGGTAAGACACCCCTAACGCCCCTACGGGTGTGTGTTCTGTTAAGATACAGCCTGTTGTGCCTTAAAATGGCTTCTACTGTACCGCTGTAAAATGGCTTCTACTGTACAGTGCAGTGGAGTTGCCATGGCAATGGCTTCACAGTACTCCACAAGGGGGCCTTACCTCTGGTAAGGGGGAAAATCTAACATTAGAAATTACGTTTGGTCTGGACATTTCCCCCCCTATAAATAATACCAGGGCAATATCGGGATATCAGCTAGTAACAAGTAAAATCCCAATTAAAATAGCCTATTATTTGATGTGCGGTCATATGCCTAAACAGGCAGGGGGTGTTATTAAAAGTTGGATTCAAATTCATTTCAAATTCGGACTCCGTATGAACCAATGAGAAAAGAGGAGGGAGGCACTTTTTAAAAATGGCCTAAATTAAAACAGACACACAGAAAAAACTCTTCCCAAATTAATAAAAGACATTTCTTCCCACGCACCCAACTAAAACTGGGACAAATTCAGGGAAAAGAAATGATTTATCCTTGATATGAATACCGTGTTTTTCAGAGTATAAGGCGTACCTTCCCCACCCCCAAAAAAGAGGGAGAAAATCTGGGTGCGTCTTATACACTGAATACAGCATATTGGCCTCCCGAACCCCCCCCCTTTTGCAAAAAAGTGCTCCTGGGGGCTGGGGAGGGCAAAAATGAGCAAAAAACATGCCATTTTTTGCTCGTTTTTGCCCAGCCTCCCAGGAGCACTCTCCAAGCCTCCTAAAGGCTCTGCATGCCCTTTTTTTGGGCAAAAAACGGGCCCATT